GGGGATTTGTTGGCCAGGACACTAGAAGAAACTCCCTTCTCTTTTCAAATGCCATGGGATCTTTAACGTCTATCTGAACAGGCAGACAGGACCTCAGTTTACCTCCCAACAATACAACACATCCCCAGAGCTACCTTGGAGTGTCACCTAAGACTGTGTGACTGTGTGACTCCACATCCCGATGTGGGGCTTGAACCCACAACTGTCTGACTCTGAGGCTAAAGTGCTAGACTGGCCAGGCTGACACACAGCAATAAACTTGAGTTTGAGTCTCCTTGGGACTAATTCGCTGATGAATCAAATCTCTGCTCTATATCTGCTCCCGATCATGGAGATTGGTGTTTGAGTGCAGCTAAAAGTGGATGGCAATTTCATTCAGTCGCTGTCCTGTGAAGCATCACTCAAATGGTCACTGTACAACTGAAACATTAAATTGAACGTTTAGTGATATCCAAGATGGCAGCAGAATTTATTTCAAATTGGCCTTAGGATAAAATCAATGTGCTGAAATTTTGAGGGGGGTGGGGAAGGTTATTCAGTTCCATTGCTAGTCTTTAGGAAATGATTTAAAGATGCAACACATCACAACAGATTCAAATAAGAGGAGAGAGTTTCTCCCGGAGTCCTGGCCAATAATCCTCCAATTAAAATTGGTCATTCACCTGATGGCTGTTTGTGGGATATTTCTGATATGAGATGTCTATCCTGTGCTATCACTTAATGTAGTATAATTGATCCGCCCCCTTATTTTGTATCTAAATGTTTTAGCTACGTTTTCAAGGCTCTTTGTGAGGGAGGCAGTGCTGCATGCAAATTGGCTGACACGTTTGCACTTTACAGAAAATCCTGTGAAGGGCTGAGATATCCTCCTGATGTCATATTCGCTATTGCCAATGTAAGGATTATTATTATTAATAACAAATTCAGTGTGATAATTATTACATCAAATTCTAGCACCAACTGTTGCATTTTCTAATCCTATAATGATGTGGAATCATAGAAAACCCCTCTCAGAAACAGGATCCTAAGCCTAATGCATCTGTACTGGTGCTTGCTCTCCCCTCTCCATCACTCACACTGGAGCTGTCTCCTCTTATCCTGTATCACTGCTCCGTCTCATACCATTGTAGGTCTCAATGATCCACGTACTAATTTAATTCCCTTTTAAATATCTCTAATTGGCTTGGCTTCAATAGTCACCTGTAGTGACACATTAGAAATCTTAATAACACTGTATATAAAAATAATCGTCTAACACACCTTTATATTTCTAGTAATAATCTTGAGTTTGAATGTCCTTGGGACCAATTCATTCAGCAATCAAATTTAATCTTTCACTATTCACCCTCTCAAACCCTTTGATAATTTTGACCATTTTTATTATAGTCCCTCTAAACCTTCTCTGCTCCGATGAGAACAGCATCAATGTTTTTTTAAGCAGGAAGCTCAGTATAATCCGAATCTCTTGGCAGCAAAATATTTCTTTCAGTAAACGTTTAAAACAAATTATTGTATTCAGTTAATTTCAGCCTCATGCCAAAAATGAATACTTGGGCATTGTTTATCGTATCTGCCTCCTGTTTGATGTGCAATATTTCTGTGAAAATATTCAGAACGACTGTATTTTGCCTCATCAATTCTATAGGCTTTGACTGTGCGTGGCAGATTAAGCAGATTGAAGTAGTGCTGATGTGTTAATTGTGAAGATTTGTACCATACTGTATAACTAGCATGGTGGCAGTGAAATTGCTGTCCAAAATCCATTCCATAATGCTGCATCATCTTTAAATATTACAAGTGGCCATGTCTGTTACAATAACAACAATTCACATTTGTAGTGCCGAAGTATAATGTCTTGAAGTGTTTTACAAAGTCTAAGCAGGTGGCGAGTTGGGAAGGAGGTAAGCAGAGGTGGCCACAGGTACAGTCAATGAGATAGATTTTTATGCTTGTTTTGAAAGCAGATGGTAAATGCGGAAGGTGAAGGGATTGCGAAAGAGATTTTTGGTGAGATTCGGAAGAGAGTGGAAATAAAGTGGTTGGAACCTCACCTGTCAATGGTGGGGCAGAGCAGAGAGGGGACAACAACAACAACAACAAGATTCCATTTATAGAGCGCCTTTCACGTCAGGAGGACGTCCCAAGGCGCTGCACAGTTGGGTCATGACCCGAGCAGGGGGGAAATGGTCAGGGTGAGGGGAGGGAAGGGAGGGAGAGAGGAGGGGGGAAATGGTCAGGGTGAGGGGAGGGAAGGGAGGGAGCGAGGAGGAGGAAGAGAGTCGAGAGGGGAGCTGAAGGCACGGTCAAAGAGAAAGGTTTTGAGACCGGCCTTGAAGGAGGAAAGGGAGGAAGCAAGGCGAAGGCACTGGGGGATGGAGTTCCAGAGCCTGGGGGCTGAGAGGCTGAAGGCCCGACCACCGATAGTAGGGCGGTTGGGGCGGGGGACGTGGAGCAGACCGGAGCCAGAGGAACGGAGGGTATGGGCAGGTAGGTAGGGGGATAGTAGGTTGGAGAGGTAGGAGGGAGCAAGGCCGTGAATGGCCTTGTAGGTGAGGATGAGGATCTTGAAATCAAGACATATGAAAGCCACAGTTGGGAAGAGAAGGGAAGTGGAGAGGTTTTGCAGGGCCGCAGGATCGCAACAGAATGCAGAGATAGGGTCAGGCAAAGACATTTGAAGGTGAGGATGAGGATCGTAAAAGCAGTGAACGTGGGCTGCAGAGTTCTGGATGATCCGAAACTTGTGAAGAGCTGAACAAGGGAGGCTGATGAGGGAGGAGTTGGAAATGTCCAGTCTGGGGGTGACAAAGACATTGATAAGGGCTTGGGATTGAGGTGGGGAATGTTATAGAGATAGAGGAAAGTGGATTTGCTCATAACCTGGATGAAAGATTGGAAAAAGAGTTGAGGGTTGAGCAAAACACCGAAGTCCTGGAATGGCTCTGTGAGCTGGAGTTGGCAGGAGTCGAGCAAGAAAGCTTCAGTTAAGTTAAAGCTCATACAGAGTTTACAGATCTATTTATGCCTCTCCTTAGGCATCCGAGGGGAATTAGCCATCAGAGAGGACATATAGACAGGGTGCATTCTGGTCTTTGCCAATACAGCTCCTGAGTGTATGCAAGTGGTAACTCACGTCTTCGTTTCCAATATAGTCTGTGTTTCCCATATAGTCTGCGTGAACCTTGCCTGGCACTTCTCCCAAGGGGACAGCACAGCTCTGGCTTGTTTGAAAATGAGTGAGATGTTCCACATTACTGCCCTGCACAATATATCTGCTTCATTCACAAAATAGCCCTCAGAGGTGTCTGAACCAATTCTCCATGGCTACATTATGGATACGCAAAACTTGCATTCAAAATATCTGACTGAATGGCTGTGCATAAAAATTCACGAAGCTATTACTGAACCAGTCCAGTGTTTTGCGATTGATAGTACATATTTTATCAGTTTCTTTGAAGTGAAGATACTCCAAGGTGTGTGAATCTCTGCAGATCTCCACAGATTTTAGTAAACTAAATCGGCTCAGATTTTGTTTTCTTCTTCGTTCCCTGATGATTTCCAGTCCCAAAATTTTGAAATTATGAGAAAATAAACAGTGAGGAGATTTTTTTCCCTCTCATAATGGTAACTGCATTTCCATCTATTATAAAGATAAGGTGACAGAGAGAGAGGGGGATCTCAACAACAACTGATCAGTTTAATTCAGTTTTTAATTCAGTTTATTATTCTATTACATTTTCTACACAAAGTTACAATCTCCCTCTCTCAGCCTATCCTGTCTTTTTAAATTCAGACTCCCATCTATTATTAATACTGCCCAATACTCCAGTTTCTTTTCAACATCATTGTCAGAGTGTATTTGTTCACGTATAAGTTTAGCAAAATTGTCATAAAGAGATACTTTTCAGTAAATTGCAAATTAACTGAAATAGTATCCAACAGTGTTTCATAATAACATCAATTCGCATGAGGCACATAAACGGGAAGGGACAATTTATACCTCATTATGAATTATAAATGAATTCTGAATAGACAAATCTTCAAAGTATGTTAATTTCTTTAAAGTACAAGATTATTTTTCTGTCAAGAAAGATTTCTTACTGTTCATCTCAACTCACTCAAGAATCTCTGTTGCATTACATGGCTCTTATGAGATGAAGCTAAACCAGACAGATTTGAGAATAAAGTTTTATCCCCCAGAGGATCGAGTTCAAGATCCTCATCCTCACCTTTAAGGCCATCCATGGCCTTGCTCCCTCCTAGCTCTCTGACCTGCTGACTCCCTACCAACCTCCGTTCATCGGCCTCCGGACTGCTCCATGTCTCCCGCCCGACCTGCCCTCCCAACGATGGCCGGGTTTTCAGCCTCTCTGCTCCCACACTCTGGAACTCCATCCCATGGTCCCTTCACCTCGCTTCCTCCCTTGCCTCCTTCAAGGTCGGTCTCAAGACCCTTCTTTTCAACCGTGCCTTTGGTCTCCCTCCCACCTCTCTGCCTTCCCTCACCCCTACACCACCCCTCCCCCATGCTCGGGCCCCGACACCTGACTGTTCAGCGCTTTGGGACGTTCTCCCGATGTGAAAGGCCCTCTATAAATATCATTCCCCCCATTCCCCACCTTTCATGATAATACCGAATACATATCTGGTTACAGTATTTCAGGATTAAGGCACTGGGGTCTCTTACACACCAATCACTAACACTAGCAAACTTATCATTACTTACTTAGATTGGGGAATCTACGTAACAAAAAGTTTGCCAGGGTTAACATGGGCACATAGTTGGGCCTCACTGTTGCTGACTGCAATGAACAGAGTTAAAGTGGTTGTGTGGAATCATCCTCGATGCTTTTCTCCTGAATACTTTTTATTATGCAGTGTAGTTTGACATGGTGCCTGTCGTGTACTGATCTGAAAATGAGGACATCTCTGCTAAGTTGCTCAAAATCTGTGCCTGTAAAAGAGTTGTTTTATTCTTTTCCTTTCCCTATTATTTCAAGCACTCATGCTTGTTCTGCTGCAAAAAAGAGAAAAATGCAGGAGCAGGAACTAGGAGCTTCTATAAACAAGAGGAAGTCCCTTCTGATGAAGCCCCGTCATTTCAGTCCTAATGAGGAGTGTGAAGAGGACAGCAAGGAGGCGAAGGAACCTGATGACGATGGGACAGAAACAGATGAAATGGAAGACAGTGAACTTGTGTTAGGTATCAAACCAAACATCCCGTAATGAATTAAGTCCAGTATAAAACTGAATTCATAATTAAATTTAAACAGCTTGATTCACGTTTCATCAAGCAGTATTCCATGCTAGGGTTCTTTCACCACCAATTTCAATCGGGTAATAAAATAAAAGACATAGTACTGTAAATATGCACTTTCCCGACTTCCATTAATCTGTACCTAATGGGAATATTTCAGAGCTGCGTAACTTAGCAACTGTAGTAATTGTTGCTTTCCAGTGCCTGTGCTAGACAAAATCCTTTCATTAGTAATACCAAGATGAGGGGAATATTTAGTAGCTTGGAAAACAGTAATGCACAATCAATTAACATTGTGCACTTATTCTTTCATTTGTGTATAAATTACATTTTGAATTCANTTTTTTTCCCATTGATATTTTTATACTTCCAAGTATCACTTACGAATTTCAGCCCCCATTTAGTACAGCCAACTTATGTTAAAAGAATTAAAAATTGAATTATTTTCTGCTGGTGAGTTTGGTGCTATTCAGATGCTAAATCTCAGAGTATGTTTCGCAATGTACGAAATGTATCATTTGGCATTGTATATGTGACCTGCCATTCTCTGTGTATTACACAATATACCTCAATTTTCAAGTGGTACAAAAACTATTTATATGTTTATTTGCAATACAAACTTTTTGTGCCCCCTCCCCACCAGCTCAGGTTTCCAGCCACCAGTGTCAGGCCACTTTGAAACGCCATCCTGATGTGAAAGGCGCTAATATAAATGTAGATTATATGTAAACAAAGTTTGGAACTAGTTAGCATTTGGATGTTAAACTATTGTCTTTTTTAATTCCATATTTGGGTCAGTGAGCAATCCTATGAGCAATCCCATCAATTCCTGGGGAACCACACTCCAGACGTTGAATGTAAAGTTCTTTCAGATCCATGTGATGTACATCAGTATTAAATTGTACATTCCAAGACAAATGGTGTGGAGTCCTATAGCTCAGTGGTTAGAGCACTCGCCTTGCAAGTGAGACACCTGGGTTCAATTCCAGGCAGGGCGAAACCATGGGCAAATTTCCTTACTCCACACGCCTAATAATAATCCCTCCGAAACAAAACAATAATAAATTGGTCATTTTCAATCCACTACTGTTTGTGGGAAACTGCTGTGCGCAATTGGCTGCCGCGTTTTGCCCACAAATATACTGTCAATTCACTTTACAGCATATTCTGTGAGGCGCTTTGAGACGTCTAGACGTGAAAAGCGCTATATCAAATGCAAGGATTGATTGATTTATTGATTTATTTATTTATTCTGGTTACCCATAGGAGTACCTGTTGGCATTGACACCTTTTCCTCATTTAAGGAATCCTCCCATAAATCTTGCATTTTAATAATAATAATAATTCTTGCATTTGATATAGTGCCTTATCATGCCTTTGAGACATCTCAAAGTGCTTCACAGAATATACTGTAAAGTGAATTGACTGTATATTCTGTGGGCAAAATATTTTGCATCGCATTATACCCAAAATAGCTTTCTGACCTTTTGTTTTCTAGAAAACAAACTGGGCCAGACAGCACCTGGAAATACTCAAATGGACACCCCAGAGAAGGACACCCAGAGCAATGGTGATGATTTTAACAGTTATCAGGAGCTTGTAGCCAAATCACTTCAAGATTTGGGCAAAATAGCAGAAGATGCAGCAATACACAGAACTACTGAAAGCAATCTGAATGACAGTGGAGTGCAGTCTATGGAGGGAGAGAGCGATGCGGAAGAGAGCCATGGGTCAGAAATTGGGACTAAAGATAAGTTACATATATGTGAAGAACAAGTAATACTAGATCAGCATTCTTGTGCAGAAAATGATCCCTCGCACTCTGAAAATCTTATTAATAACTGTGACCAGCCCCAAGATTTATCAAAACCTTCTAATGTGAGTGAACTGAAGCCCCTTGGAGTCCAAGTTTATAGCCTTGGCTGCGAGCCACGAGCGACATTAGATGCAGAAGAGAAAGAAATTGAAATAACAAAAGTTGTGCCACAAGAAACTGCTTACCAGAATAGACCGACCGAATTAGGAGATCCCCGACCGTCAGAGCAGGAGCTCTGTGTCAGTAAAGGGGGATTGTCAGAGAATGATGAGGATTGCTGTTCTCAGATATCCACAGAGACGGATGATTCAGAAGATTTTGACACAGCAAAGGGAAACCTGAATCTGCTGGAACAGGCTATTGCTCTGCAGGCAGAGCAGGGGTATATCATCCAAGGAACCCACAAAGAAAATGAAAGGATCTTACTTGAGCAACTCGCTGCAGAAAGGAGGCATTGTAAAATCATTGACATTGGCATTCGAAAGAATTACTCCAGCAGAGGTAAAGTAGTTTTCTTATGGTGTTTTTACTTTTTAAAAAAATAATTTCTCTGTTGGGGACCAGCACCACAGTACGGTTCAGATTAGGGACATCTCTTATCATAGGTGGACACACCTGTCACATGGATAATACTGATTCCCTCCAGAACCATAGTCTTTGTATTTTATCTTGTGAATCAAGATGGATTATGGATGGTGCACAAATCTCAGTTTGTGTTTCAGCCAAACGTTCAAGTGTGGATAGGGATAGGACCTTCAATGTCATTTAATCATTGCATCTTCCCTTTCATTATCCTTGCACCATCAAGTGCTGTATGTCCTCTCCCTGCAAATAGCAAAGATGGACATCTACCCCAGGCTTCTCTTAAGACTGTTCTATGAGCTTTCACTAAAAGCTTTCACTAAAAGCTCACAGTAGTAGGGGAAAACTAATCTTCCAACCTTTCCTGTCTGCCTATGGGAGAGGGTTTTCCTATAACAGTGTAGTTGAAATCAGAAAACTCAGACAGTGGGGAATGAGCAGGAATCAGAGCCATGGTTACTTTATGGTGCTGTGCAGTGAAGCACTGGCATCCTGTGCCTTCGTGCTGTTACGAGATTAACTGATAACACGCATCCTGCTGAGACCCAGCAGCAGACATAATTGTATCCCACAGAGTATTTGTTCATCTCTGCACCTAACCCTCTAACTACCCTCCAATACTGTTCCAAGCCTGGTAGCACGCTCGCCTCTGAGCCTGAAGGTTTGGGGTTCAAAGCCCCGCACCAAAACTGTGAACTCATAGTTCTGGCTGACACTCCAGTATATATCCACTGTTGCTGGTGGTGATGGGGTGGAGGTGGGGGGAGTGAAATATTTCCTATCTATTAAACAAATCACAAAATACTGCAGATGCTGGAAATCTGAAACAAAAACAGAAGTTTCTGGGAACACTCAGCAGGTCAGGCAGCATCTATGGAGAAAGGAAAGTGAGTCATTGTTTCGGGTCCACGATCCTTCGTCAGAACTGGGGCTGTTGGGAGGGAGAGGCTTTTAAGGGCCAACAGAGAGGGGGGAGGCAGGGCAAGGAAGACAAAGGAGAAAATGGGGTAGAGGACAGGATGATGGGTTAAAGAGGTGTTAATAATGCAAAACAAAGTGGAGCAAAATTGTAACAAAACAGGCAGACCAGAGAGAGAAAAGCTGTATCTGGGTCCCAGATGATGTGGTAATGGTCACAGAAGGAGGGGAAGGTGAGCTGTTATCGTCTGAAATTATTGAAATCAATATTGAGGCCAGAGGGCTATAAGGTCCCTAGCAGATAGATTTTGTTTTGAAGGGTCGTGGACCCGAAACGTTGACTCACTTTCCTTTCTCCATAGATGCTGCTTGACCTGCTGAGCGTTCCCAGCGACTTCTGTTTTTGTTTTCCTATCTCTATTGCTACTTTTACAGCCAATTTCAAATAACCTGCCAACACAAAAAACATCTTTGATTCCCATCAAAAGATTGCTTATATTTAGCAATCAGCAGAGAATTCTTCATTCATTGTTTAAATCTGTCTGAGTTGATGTTAACAATATTTTTCTTAAACTTTCATTTTTTAATATTTCATGCAATGGTACTTTTTGATTGGGTTAATGTTGCCTATTCCTTACTATAAGAAACCAACTCTACATTGGATTCATGGATAAGACCGCTGCCTTTTTGGGTGGTTATTTGACTTTCCAAAATTGCAACACAGTTTCAGGTATAAAGCATAATATTATTGTGTGGAAGATGTTTGAAATACAATGAGGCAAAGTGCACAGAGGCAGGTAAGTAGCACCAGTAGAAATAACAATCTAAAATGATAATGGGTCTAATTTGCGGTATTTCTTAATAAGGAATTCATTTAGAATTTTTGTTGGCACCCAGGAAATCCTTTGGATGAGACTTGAAACCAGGTGGATGTTAACGATCACCTGGCATTCAAAAAGAGAAGGGAGTTTCTCCCAGTGTCCTGGTCAACAATCCCCCAGATAAGATTGATCACTCACTCCGAGGTTGTTTGTGGGACCTTCTTGTGTGCAAATTGGCTGCCCCATTCACCCACAAAATACACATAGTCACATCACTTCACAGTACATCCTGTGAAACACTATGAGATGTCTCAACTACGTGTAAGGCACTGTATCAATCGTAAGGATTATTACAAATCTGTTGTGATCTGCCTCAGGCCTCTCACATTGGAGCAGGGTTCCCATGGGAGATGTTTCCTGGCACCAGAAGGAGCCCCTTTTGCGTGACACAGATTCCTTATTAGGGAATCCAGGTAAGATTTCTTCCGGTCAACTGATGTGTGACGCATGAGGAAATCCATCACTATGCCTGAGTATGGTCACTAGTCTGAGTGTTCCATGCATGCTACCTACACATGGAAAATCCAGTTAAGAAATGCTGCAAATTAGACCCCTTTGAAGGATATTTCCTAACATTTTCCCTTACATTTCCATGCTTTTGAATGCTGAATGCTCCCAACCCTCCTGGCATCAGTTAAATGTCAAGTAGCATTTGTGCTGGAGGGCTGACCAGCTGGAAGGGTCTGTGCTACTTAACTGACTGCTGGTGCTTTGGTGAATTTCACAGATTCTATTCGATGTGACAAAAAGGAATCCAGGTGCCCAACTCCAGGCTGCGATGGCAGTGGTCACATAACTGGGCTCTATCCCCATCACCGGAGTCTCTCTGGCTGCCCTCACAAAATGAGAGTGCCACCAGACAGTGAGTAGCCAACAGTGCAACCCAGCTCTGATAATGTCAGACCTAGTATTGATATTGATTTGGCCGAATACTGATTTAAGTGCTCCGAGACACTACCCTGCATGAAGGGCACTATATAAATGCAATTTTTTTATTCTTGTTGTTAATCATATTAACTCTTTCCATTGTGTTACCAACATAGGGAAATCTCTGCTGTTACAATTTGAAGCAAAAAAATTATATGTGCAATATTTAAACTTAGAGTAATTAAGCAATTGGAATCTGAGAACTGGCTACATTTCAAATGAACATATGGGTTTAAACTTACAGACCAAATGTTCTACTTGGCAAACCTAATGATTGATATGAATTCAGCACATGCTCTCTCCTCATCACTCAATGATCCCAAAAGCAGCACATGGCAAAGGGGAGGAGGACTTCTGAGGTTTAGTGATTCTTAAATCTGTATCCTGCATACACACATGCTGCTGCTGTACACTGATAGAACCTTTCATAGGTTTGTTGTAGAATGGCGTCAGTTTCACGCCATGTCAAAGTGAACAAGCCATCAACTGTGAGTTGTGTCCTTGTTGTCTAACTGCACTGGATAAGCAGGTTTTCCAACCGAAGGGGTGGGGGTGGGTTGGAATGGGGGGCAATGGGTCATTAGTGGCGCCACTTTTCCATCGCTCTCTGCGATTCCTCATACCTCCTGCTACAGCTCTCCTCACATCATTCATCGGATACCTTCCGCTTCTCTTCCCATTTCCATCTGCGCTGCCTCATACCCTCTGCTTCAGCTTTCTTCCCATTGCTTTCCACACTGTCTCGTGCCTCCTACAATCTCGTGCGAGGCAGTACTGAGAACGACGGGAAGAGAAGTGGAGTGGGAGGTAAAGGCGCCCTATGTACACGTAAAGGCCACTGGGGGAGCAGTCCCCACACACACCCCTCCGCCTCCCCCCCCCTATTACTCTGTCACTCGGTATGATTATGTTAAGTTGCAATAGATGGCAAAATAAAACTAGTGCACAATATACTGGGAATTTAAGCCTTTATTTAAACCTTTACCTTTCTCTTTTAAGCAATGACATTCTCATACATGCTCTATTTGTATTTGATCAATGAGAAAACAGCCTGTGGAATTAATGTAATTATTTTTGCATAAGAATTTGCAACCATTACTGAAAGAAAACAAAAACTCAGGATTGTCACCGCAGGAATTAAGGGATGGTAGAAATGAATGATTCACACAGAGAATTATTAACACATAGAAATTGAGGTGAAGACCATAACTACATTTAAAAGGGAATTGAATAAATAATTGAAGAGGAACAATATAAAAGGATATAGGGAGGGAACAGGAAATTTGGATTAGAACAGTAAGTTCCAGTGGAGGACCTGGCACCCAGCATAGTCTTGTCGGCTGAATGACGTCCTTCTGTGCCGTACTTATTGTAGTTCTTTGAAACAAATTGTTTTGCTCTGTTGTCTTTCACGTTCAGTCCTAGCCATGCACGAGAATGTGCTCAGATGCCCAACACCTGGCTGCACTGGACGAGGACATGTCAACAGCAACCGCAACTCACACCGAAGGTAAGTTTGTATTGTGTACGTGAGTTCATATTGATAATGTCAGTAAATTGGAGAATGGCCCAGTCACTGGGATACATTGCTTCTTTTATCACAGATTTCAAGCCCCTTTTACACAAAAAGGATTAAAAGGTATCTTGTGCGGTTATTAATTCTTAAATCCTCTGTCTGCTCTTGATTTGTGGGTTGCTGATGAGTATATCTGGATTAATGCAGCTCTTCTACATTTGAGATGTTTACATGCAGCAGAAATGGACCTGTTGATCCATGATGTAGCTGCTTCAATTTTCTGCCTTGATCATTTAAGTGTCTGAAACAACATCCTTTGAAACCAGTCTTCAATCAAAGAGGAAACAATTGGTTTGGCAGCTTCTTCCCCTTCCAACATCAATGGTGGAACCAGGAGGAGAATGAAACAAGTCAAGAGTTTTAATGAGGAGGAAGGGAAGACATCAAAACAAAAATTAGGTTTGACTGGTTAGAAAAACTGGAACTAATAAAAATGGGTCAGAGATAGAATGAGGAAGAAGAGTGGGGAGGAAAGATGACAAAAAATGGCAAACAGTATTAAACAGTTTAATAATAATAATAATAATCCTTGCATTTGATGTAGCACTATTCACGTCGGGAGGACGTCCCAAAGCGCTTCACAGAACACACTGTAAAGTGAATTCACTGTATATTTGTGGGCGAACGCGGCAGCGAATTGCGTACAGCAATGTCCCACAAACAGTCGTGGATTGAAAATGACCACTTTCTTATTGTTTTTGGTTTTGGAGGGATTAATATTAGGCGTGTGGAGTAAGGAAACTTGCCCAAGTTTCGCCCTGCCTGGAATTGAATTCCGGTCTCTCGCTTGCAAAGCGAGTGCTCTAACCACTGAGCTACAGGACTCCAAGTTTACTTCTATAGTTACTTGGACATTTTGAAATAAACATCACTTAGCCTTTTAGAGTGAACATTACAACATTGAAGCTAACGCTTGTGATCTCAATAGCTTCAATACTTTAATATTAAGGCTAGTTTCACTGTAACAGTGGGCACAATTTGCAATATTTGTAAAAAGGGTGGTATGCACTGGATTGAGGCTCTTGTGTTAGCCTGAGAGGTTGGGTTTGGGATCAGTGGAAGCACATTTGGCAGAAATCAAGCTTCCCCGAGGGCTGTCTTAAGAAGTCAGATTGTTCTGTTCTCACTTTCAAGGTGCTTGAGCTGCAAAAGACAAATCTCTCATTTTGGCGAGAGGGGAAGGAGGGAGTTCATTAATTACATATTCACTTTTTACAAATCGTTTAACTAATGTCGCAAATTAGTCCCCAGTGTGTGAGCTGAAAACTCAAAAAAACACTGACTCAGGGAAATAGTCTTGTGGAGTCCTATAGAGTATTGATTAAAGCACTTGCCTCACAATCTAGAAAACCCGGGGTCGATTACTGGGCAGGGTGAAACCTCAGGCAAGTTTCCTTACTCCACGTGCCTCTGTTTTCCCAGCAGTAAGTAGGAACCCGGTTGTTAGTCAATTGATGGATCGCTTTCTGGGGGTAATAATCCACAACTGTTTGTGAGACACTGCTGTCATAATTGGCTACTGCATTTCGTCAACAAAATACAATCTATTCACTTTGAGACATCTTAACAATGTGATAAGGTCCTATATCAAATTCAAGGATTATTATTATTAATAGCACGCATTTCCTTGGAACTGTTTGTTGGTATTCAGTCTTAATCTTGAGTTTAGAGAGACTTTTTTGTAATTTGATAGTTTACTATCAGGAAACAGTTGTTTGGTTTAAAAAGAAGAAATTAAACTGCAGAACGTTACTGCTTAACTGTTTGTCAGAATGAAAGAAATCTCTCAGAATCTATCTTGAAAATGTCTTCCCTAACTGGGGGATTTTACTGATTTGTTTTTCTTAACAGCCTCTCTGGTTGTCCGATTGCTGCAGCAGAGAAGCTGGCTAAATTGCAGGAAAAACAAAGTGATGTGCCAAAGGTTGGACAGAGCTCTGACCGAGTGCTCAGGTAGGATTCCCGTACTATTTTCTCAGTAGAAGCCATGTCATCTTGCAGTGCAATGTTACCACTGGAAGTAAATTAATGGTACCGTTAGAGCTTTGGTTTTCAGGGTTAACTGAAGCTAAGTGGGAAGAGTCCATGCCTCCACTGACTGGTCTGCCCTTCCAGGTACTGTCGATGGCTGGCTGTGCTATGCTGTCATCAGCAGTGGTCTGGGGTACTTCGGATCCGCCTGGCTCAGGAATTGGACTACCGAGCCTGCCTCTAAGGGTTGGCACGATTCTGAGATTTGTTTCCAAACGTATCACCAGGCGCCAGTTCAGCTCCAAGGAGACCGTGCTTACCTCCCCACCAAGGAGGATAGTCAGTAGTTGATCATTTGAAATCTGACAAGCACAGGTTTGAGCCTCACTAGATAGATGGCATGTACCAGGAACTCCCTGTGAGCTGTGAGCGGGATTTTTATTACAATGAATCTTACACTAAATTTACCCAATTGAAATCGATTGAGGTGGTGAAAAGATAGAATAGCCTCTCAACCAAGAAGCCTTGCGTAAAGTTGGGAGAGGAAATATTGAATCAATAAAAAAGAATAACTCAAGCAGCTCACAGCTGGTCTGTCTTTTCTATAGACCGATGTGTCTGGTGAAACAACTGGAGATTCCCCCGTTCAACTATGGACCCTCACAGCCATTTAGCACACCTCGAGCCAACCTTCCAAAGGAGCTGGATAAGTGCACTAAAGCTCCCTTTGACTATGCGAGCTTTGATGCCCAAGTATTTGGGAAGCATACAGTCACATTAAAAGAACGAGAAGCTCTTCAGATGTATGAAGGTAAGCACTGGAGTAAAACTGTTGCTATAAAATAAAAAAAATTCAATGGAAGCAAATGAATTGCTGACATCTTTTAGATCAGGACCCTTTTAAATGGGTTACTTATTTTGAAATAAAATTAATAACCTATTAGAAATGTATTCTGGTCTATCAATTAAATAGTATTGACCTCCCCCAATCCCCACCCCCCCGATTGGTTCTTTATCTTGGGAAATTTCATCCACCCTTTTTACATATTTGCCGCTATGTTTTCAACGCTATTTGTGAGGCAATGCTGTACTCAAAGTTGGCTGACATGTTCGCCTGTGTACAGAAAAAGTACACAAACACTGCACTTTACAGAGAATCATTTGAAGCAATTTGAGATGTCTTCCTGATATGAAGGATCATATATAAAATGGAAGGATTAGTATTATTGTTAATAATAACATTATTATTACATTAATTCTAGTATGAAATTCTGCATTTTTCTCCCATAATGACTCAGTCAACTCTCTGTCACCACCCTCGACTCCAGGACTACTACTGTCCCAACAGATTGTCTGTCAGGCATCAAGTCCTGGATGAGAGTCAATTTTCTCCAGTTGAATGTCGACAAGGCCAGGTCCACCTGCTTGTCTCCTGTGAGCACCTCCTCACCTCAGACGCTGACAGCATCACTATTCATGGATGCGCCTCACTAAGCCAGTATGGAATCTGGTGTCTTGTTCAATGCTCAACTATCTTTTTAAACTTGACACCCAGACCAATTCTGCTTTCCCCCACCTTAGCAACATTGCCCGCCTCTGCCTCTATCTCTTCCTTAGAGGCTGCCATGCTTTCATGCTTTCATCGCATCCAGGTTTGACTATGCTAACTCCTGCTTGCCAGACAACTCTTCCCTCCACAAGCTGCAGATTATTCAGAACTCTGCAGCTCATGTCCTCTCCCGCAGTAAGCTCTGTGAGTCGATCACCCCATTCCCGCCCAGCTACAATTGCTCTCCACCCCCAGAGGGTCGAGTATGATGATCCTCATCCTCAATTTTAAAGCCCTCAATGGTCTTGCTCCTCCTTATCTCTGTGATCTACTAAAATGTTACCAACCTGCCTGCTCCCTCCGTTTGGCAGGCACTGGCCTTCTCTATGTCCCTTGTCCTGCCCGCTCCACCATTCCGCCCCCACCCTCTGGAACACCATCTCAGAGTCCCTCCTCCTCATCCCTTCCCTTACCTCCTTCAAAGCCTGTCTCAAGACCTTCCTCTTTGACTGTGCCTTGAATTACTTTGACCATGCCTCCACCCCGCTTGCCCTCCACCCCTCTTGACTCCGGCCCCCAGCTCGAGTCCAAACCCTTCAATATCCAGGGCCTTGGGATGTCCTCCAAAGGACTTTGTTGTTGTTGTTGTTGTAGAATCATAGAAACACCATCACAGAAACAGGACTTTCAGATCTGTATCTATGGTACACACTCACATTGGTGGTGTTTGCTCTGATCCCACATCCTTGCTCCATATAATAACCTTCTATACTTCAATGCTCCAAGTAAGGATTATTATTATTTAAATAAAATGAGTTCTGTTGAAGTTCTGTTTAGTCATCAGTTTGTTTCTGTATATGTATATACATCTGTATATGTATCTGTCACATCAGATAAAATAGAATAATTATTTAAATATAGGAAATGTGTTGAGTTCAAACTAAATAAGATAAAGCTGAAATAATGAACCTCAATCTACATCTTACTTGATTCTGTTTACCAGCCAAACATTTTTCAAGTGCTGTGACCTCCTCCAGCCGACTGTCCAGTGCCTCGGTGCAGAGTCAATGCCATTCAGGCCTCTACAGCTATAGCCACGATGCCGAAGCCACTCACTTAGCAGCTGCGGCTATTCTGAACTTATCCACGCGTTGTCGGGAGATGCCACAGAATCTCTCCACAAAGCCACAAGACCTGTCCACCAAGGTGAGATGCTACGCGTTGGACAGTAGACCTCTGTCAATGCCTTACTGAAGAGAGTCAAACTGAAATGTTCTCAATGCACAGATTTAAATGGGGGCATTCATCTTAGTATTGCCTGAATAACCAATGCTTGTATTTGTTTGCAGTTGAATAGCTATCAAGAAAATCAAGTGTGAGCAATAAGTCAGAGCAGTGCTACAAATTCATTCACTTCAATTGAGTTGAGTCAACTGGCTCAGTTGGTAGAACTCTCACCTCTAAGTTTGATGGTTGTGGGTTTAAACTTCCTGTCAGGACTTTGAACTCACAGTCCAGAGTGACACTCCAATTCAGTGCTGGAGAAGCAATATATATTGTCTGAACCCATGTTCTAATGAAGAGAGCGATAACAGAGTTCTACCACATTGATGTCTGAGTTTAGAGTACCCCATCACACGTGATACTCTTAACATTGCCTGAGAAATTTATGCAGTAATTAAAATAACCCTGCTGTTGGAATCAAATGAATTCAAAAAACCAACAATTAAACTTTGACAATTATACGTCAAAATAGATTTCATCTTCACTGAGGTCTGAGTCTCACACAATGTGGGAGACAACAAGGTGCATTAACTGGAAAGAATAAAATTATTCAATAATTTTGGCCCTAAGTGCAGTCCAGGTCTAATGTGTCTACAATGTTGGTTACATGCTTCAGATAAAAAAGATACACTGGCACTAGTTAATAGAGTAGCAGTCTGTAATACAATAAACAAAAAGCTTAACAGATATGGGTGTACTTGTGTGACCTCCTGACGGAAATGGTGACGTCTGTTATTCTTTCACTTCATTTGAAATGTAGATGGAGTTGGCCAGTCATGTTTGAAACCATATGGCGTTGTGCTGAGGTTAAGAAGAATTTCTGTTCACACACAAGGTTGTTGGAATGTTAAGTGCCTTATCACAAATGGCTGTTGAAGCCAAGTCCAACACTGTATTGAAAAAGGAATTGTAGAAAAATATTTTTAAAGAGTATTGGGTACAAGTAATGGTTTAGAGTAGATAGCTCTGGATAGGAGATCTAGAACACAGAGACCAACTTACTTTCTTGTGTACTGAAGCCTTAATTCTGTAATATGAAGATGGGATGTTTGAGTATCAGCCTTGTTTATCTGCTATCACTCTCGTCTCTGAGTCACAAGGTTGTTCAAGCCCCACATTGAGACTCTGAGCTCACAAGTCTATGCTGACACTCCAATACCAGGCTGGGATGTGCTGTATTGTTGGAGGTGCTGTCCTTCAGATGATCCTTCAGGGATGTGTGTCCAAGCTGTGCACAGGAAGACAGTAGCAATGCGCTCACCCATTTCATGCTGAGATGAGTTGCCCACTGGGAAGCTTGCAGGGAGTTCCATGTATCTATCATCTACCTAGTGAGGCTCAAACTCGCGCTTGTCGGATGTTGAAAGACTAACTAGTGACTATCCTCTTTGGAGGTGGGAGGTAAGTGGGGTCTCCTTGGAGCTGAACTGGCTCCAAGGTGACATGCCTGGCAATGGAATGTCAGAATCAGCCAACCCTCTGTGGTCTCGGTAATCCGGTTCCTGAGCCAGGCGGGTCCGCAGTATTCCAGGGCATTGCTGATGATAGCACAGCCAGCCTGGCTCATCGGCAGGACCTGGAAAGGCAGACTCGTCACTGGGGCCAGAGAGTCATCCCACTCAGTTCCTGTTAACCCTGTAAGCCAAACCCTAACAGGTCCTAGCTTGAAAAGCAGTGGGAAAGCTTCCCAGATAGCAATATCAATGGCAAGCTATGTGGTTTTAGCTGGTTAGACTCTAGCAGTACCCCGATGCACACTCTGGTGTCCCCAAACCTTGGCTCTTACCAACCTGCTCCAAATACTTTCTGAAATTAGGTAAGCAGAATGCATCCCTCCAGGGAGAGAGTATGCATTCCAAAAATCTATCTCTGGCATTTCCATGTGAAGATGGGAATCATGGAAATCTCAGCTTGGTTTGGATACTTTTAAGCATGGTGATGGGTTTCTGCATGTGTGAGACACCCAGCTGACAAAAACAAAAACAAAAAATTCAGATGAAATGTTAAACCTAGTTTACATGTCTGCCTGTTTAGATAGAGCTAAAGATCCCATGCAGAATTTGGCAAATTGTTGAATTAATTCTTAAGTTGAGCTGTCTTTCCATAGTTAATAATAATAATAATTGTTGCATTTGATATAACGGCTTATCACGTCTTCAAGACATCTCAAAGCGCTTCACAGAATATATTGTAAAGTGAATTGACTGTATTTTTGGGCAAAATGCGGCAGCCAATTGCACACAGCAGGATCCCACAATCAGTCGTGGATTGTAGTGGCTAATTTATTATTATTTTTGAAGGAATTATTACCGTCAGAAAAGCGATCTGCCAATCGACAGTAGCAAATTCTATCACATCTGGTGCTTGGATTGCACTGGTATAAAAATCCCATCCTGAGGTTTACAATGTGGAAATGTCCGTGTGATCTGTGTTGAAGATTTAGCCTCAGTCATGCTATTTTAAAGTGTGCACTTTTGATCTTTTCAACAAAGAAGAAATAGCATGAGTACCTTCAGAATCCAAGGGGTCAAAGATTGCCATCTTGTAATGCCATGTAAATAACAAAGAATCATTGTGTAATATTATTATTAAATGACAGTTGGTATTATACAGATGGGATGATATGTTATCAGAAGTTATTATCCAGGATAAGCTTCAATGCTGGATCGAGGGTGTGGAGGCAGTGTTTTGTACTTACCAACATCACATGTCCTTAAAATCTATCACACCAGATTAAGCCTTTCCGTTGAAAGGGCTATAAGGATCGAAGATGAGCTGTATGATTCTTTCATGCCAACAAAAATTGATTTGACTTTTTTTCACATCTGTGCAATGGCACAAAGAGTAGTGCGATGTTACAGGCAAATCAACCTGTCACTTCGGATGCAAATGCAACCCAGAGGTTCTTAGCAGTCAATCAACTCTTGCTGAAAGCTATTACATGTTAGCGAGAAAATATCATTTTCCATTAATGCCAGTTTTAAATAGAAAGAATGGTCTGCAATGCCATCTATTCGTCTCCTCCCCCGCACCAGGCTCCATGAGCCTATCACCCCCCCATCCTCGTTTAGCTCCACTGGCTCCCATCCCACAGCAGATCGAGTTCAAGATCCTCATCCTCTTATTCAAATCCCTTCACAACCTCACTTCTACCTACCTCTGCGACCTCCTACACTCTGCAAACTACCTCCGCTTTGTTCAGTGAACACCAGTCTGTTTCATATCTCCTGACTGATCTGTCTGTCCCACCGATGGTGGGGGAGCTTTCAGCTATTCCACCACCTCTCTCTGGAACTCCATCTTGGAGTTTCTCTGCCTCACATCAGGAGGGCATCCCCAAATGCTTCACAACATTCACTGTAAAACGGATTGACTGTGTGTTGTGGATGAATGTGGCAGGCAATCTACGCATCCCAATGTGCCACAGCAGCCATGGAGTGAGTGAACAATTATTTTGGAGTGATTGTTGACCAGGACTCCTGAAGAAACGTCCATCTCTTTTCAAATAATTGCATGAGATAATTAATGTCCACCTGAACTCAACTTAACATCTCATCCGAAGAACAGCACCTCCAACGGTGCAATATTTCTACTTGCGGAGCAGTTCTTGCGAGTCAATAGGAGTTCTAACAATATTCCTTATAGAGCAATCCTATGAAGAAATACTGCAGATTAAATCATCGTGTTACAATCAATAATCAGAAAGGTGCAAGTCTTGCTAATTGTATATTCTCAGAGAGAGATAAGGAATCATTTTGATTTTTGGGGGGGAAAATGTTGCAATATGCACCAGAAATCAGGGTACGGTGTGATTCGCCTACAAATCACATAGTCACTACACTTCACAGTAAAATTCTGCGACATGCTTTGAAGAAATTGTAAAGGAAATCTGCCCCCAAATCCCACCCTCCTGATTTCCTGCGAAATATTACTGATTTTAGTTTTAGTCTGTAGAAAAGGAATAATTTAAGAATCACCTTAAAATGACTTTGTTGAACCGAAACACGAAACGGTCCTCGGCCAGAACTGATCATCAGTTGGAACCACTGGATTAGATTCATTGGAAGCAGGACATGAAACTTTAATGCCACCCTACCAATTCAGCATCTCCGAAAAATCTTCAAAGTAATGCAGCCCTTAAAATGCACTACAGGTTTAAAATACAGTGCTACACATACATTGAATACTAACAGTTACTAACAGGATCTTTTGCTTTAGAATGCTGATATAGAGGTCGATGAAAATGGAACCCTTGACTTGAGCATGAACAAGCAAAGACACAGAGACAAAGTTGCTCCCATGACTTCCACACTACCCACTCCGAATTGCTCACCCTCCTACCTGAACAGCATCTTAATAACTCCTCAATATTACCAGGCATTGTGTGAACAGGAAGGATGGGATGCACCTGTCAATTACACTAAAGCACAGATGCATCAAGAAGAGGAAAAAGAGGTAACAGAAGGTTTTCCATTTCATAGTGTTGTGTGTGGGTCATTTCCATGTCTGTTAACTTCTGACTATTGGTAACGCTCTCCTTCTACCCACGAAGTCCAATTATTTTGTAGATGTGTATTCCTTCGACAGATCAATTGATTGTATATCAGGGGTCTAATTTGCGAGATTCGCAAAAGGACATGTAAATGACAAATGCCTCAGATACCAAAATGTGTCTCTTTTAAGTTTGAGTTAACTGGTGTTCTGTGAAGCAACACAAGTATTGGGATATATAGACTGGCAGGTTCAATAGTGTCTCAATGGTGCTAAAATGACATTGGTTCTGTCCATTTTCACAAAATGATGTTCACCAGTGGTCACTTATTGACCGAGAGACCGTCAGGAATGGAAACTCTGACAATGTGACAATATCGCATTTTCAGAATTACAGTGTGAATTACAATGAAATAACAGAGGGTAGGGTGGATAAAGGTAGTGCAGTTGATGTAGTTTATATGGATTTTCTAAAGGTATTTGGTAAAGTGCCACATAAGAGACTGGTAAACCCACGGTATTAAAGGGACAGTGGCAGCATGGATACAGAACCGTCTGGGAGACAGAAAGCAGAGAGTTGTGGTAAATATTTTTCTGACTGGAGGGTAGTGTGCAGTGGTGTCCCCCAGGGCTCGATATTGGGACCACTGCTGTTTTTGATCTATATAAATGACCTAGACTTGGGTTTATGGAGTACAATTTCCAAGTTTGCAGATGATACTAAGTTAGGAAAAGAAGGAAATGGTGAGGAGGATTGCAGCAGACTGCAAGAGGACATAGACAGACTGGTAAAATGGGCAGACACACGGCAAATGAAGTTTAATGTGGAGAAATGCGAAGTGATGCGTTTTGGGAGGAAGAATGAGGAGAGGCAATGTAAGCTGATGGTACAATCTTAAAGGGGGTGAAGGAACAGAGAGATCTGGGGGTTCATATAAGTAAATCTTTGAAGGTGGCAGGACAGGTAAATAAAGCTGTTAAAAAGCATACGGGTTACTAGTCTTTATAAATAGGAGCATAGAATACAGAAGTCAGGAAGTTATGATGAATCTTTATAAAATACTGGTTAGGCCTCAGCGAGAGTATTGTGTTCAGTTCTGGCCATCACACTTTAGGAAGGATGTCTAGGCATTGGAGAGGGTGCAAAGGAGATTTACCAGGTTGGTACCAGGAATGAGGGACTTCAGTTATCAGGAGAGGCTAGAGAAGCTAGGATTATTCTGCTTGGAGCAGAGAAGGTTAAGAGGAGACTTAATAGAAGTTTTCAAAATGATGAAGAGATTCGATAGAGTGAACAAGGAGAAACTATTTCCACTGGCGGGTGGATCAGTAACCCGAGGACACCGATTTAAAATAGTTGTTAAAAGAAACAGAGGGGAGTGAGAAGAAATGTTTTCACACTGTGGGTGGTTCGGATCTGGAATGCATTGCCTGAAAGGTTGGTGGAAGCCAATTCGTTAACAAAATTTAAGAAAGAAGTAGATAATATTTGGGGGGACAAGTTTGCAGGACTATGGGGAGAGAATGGGGGGAGTTGGGTTGATTTGGATTGTTCTTATCAAAGAGCTGGTACAGACACGATGGGCTGAATGGCCTCCTTCTGTGCTGTATAATTCTATGATTCTATGATCACCTGTGAGATCTTATCACAGCTGAGGTCAGAAAGAAATATATGGGGTTTCTTGGAGGAATTGTAATGTTAGGCATTTTTTTCCAAAATTGCACTGTCAGCGTTTCAGGTCCACGACCCTTCGTAAGAATTGAGTCAACTGAGTCAACTCAGATCTGATGAAGGGTCGTGCACCCGAAACGTTAACGCACTTTCCTTTCTCCATAGATGCTGCCTGACCCGCTGAGTGTTCCCAGCGACTTTTGTTTTTGTTTCAGATTTCCAGCATCTGCAGTATTTTGCGTTTATTTTAATAATTCCGGCTATTTACTTCACGCTACTTTCTAATGCAATTAGGTCCGGACCAGCAGCTTATAAACAATGTTAGAAATCTTTACCTCTTGGTTCTAATCTGAGATGTGTGGATTCTGTGCATTAATTGGATCTTCCAATTTGCGAATATCAAAAGCTATTAAATTCACAAGAGAACCAATTGCAAATCCAGCAAAGTGTCATAAAAGGCGGGGCACCAAAACAGGCGAGATAAATGTTTATTCATACAGCGCTTAAAACATACTTGTAGTAAATTAGCATTTAGAGTTGTGTATTGCATCCAGCATTAAATGTTCATAAATGCTGCTGCATCAAGTCCATTGATGTATTGATTTATTCACTGGTTTGTGATCACAGAAGGAAGAGACTGATCCTGAAGAAAGCATGGAGGAGAGGAAATACCCTGGTGATGTCACCATTTCAAGTCCTAAATCTAAAATACAGAGCAGAGATTCAAAGAAAGAACTCATAACGTAAGTTACATTATGCACCTCATCATTACTTACCTCAATCCTACAGTTAACTTCTTATATGAACAGCAGGATATTGCTTCAAATAAACCCTTTCAATGGATTGATGAATTGCTCAGATGTTTAATATAATTCAGTTCAAAACACTACGGTTGAAAGAGATCTCGTATTGAAAGAGTTGTTTAACTAATGCTTCACCACTAGAAAAAGCATCTCATAACGTAAACTACATTTTCAACAGAGAACGTAGTTTCTCCCAATGTCCTGGCCAACAATCCTACAAATAAAATTGATTACTCACTTTTTAACTGTTTCATTATGACAACGATTAAGAAGATATCAAGCAACTTCCCATGAGGAGGTGAACAAATACAACAGTCTTCTCCCCAAATCCACTTCCGCATGGGCAGAGATGCTTGAAAGCATCTCACCCAAGCAACCAATGCTATTTTTGCCTAGTGTTGGGAATTAGGAGTGAGGACAAAGCTTTCATCGGAAAAGACACCACATGGTATTAGGACACCCATAGACTAAAATTTGCCTATTTTAAATGTGCATGTGTTGAGAAGGAAAGCAACCTGTTTTAACCCACAGTAATACAATAATGATATCAATTCCATGAAAATCACCTGAATGCACCATTTGCATAAATCTTTGCACCTTCAGTTCATTTAAGAAGAGGGAGATTGTCTGGTGTCCTGGTCAACAATTCCCCAAGATAAAATTGGCACTCACTTCATGGCTGTTTGTGAGGCATTGCTGTGTGTAAAATTGGCTGCCAAATTCGCCTACAAAATACACAAGTCACAGCTTTACTCCATAGTAAAATTCTGTGAAACATTGTGAGATTTTTCGCTGACGAGATAAGATGCTATATCAAATGCAAGGATTATTATTATTATTATTTAATCTATTTACCAAACTGCAACATGCAGCTCAAGTATTTTAATTCCCAAGTCAAAAAGGAAGGAAAATTGCGTGCCAAGACCCTTTTAAACATTTTGTTTGTGAGGTTGTGGCATGTGTTATCAACACATCCAATCATTATAGACGCTAGATACAAAGGTAACAGAGCATAAAGAGTATAGGTCTTCTATGCAGTCGGATGTTTTCCTCTTTCACCAGGCTGCTCTCCCTAGGAACTGGCAGAGAGGTCTGTGTTGCATCTGCAGTAATATATTGAAAAAGGTAACGCATGGGGGAGTGTTGTGTCTTTCACAGGAATTGATATTGTACTTGCTCACAAGCACTAAAAATGAAATATTCAATCATAAATTTTTGCAAATGCATTTAAATAATGTCTCAAGCATTGTCGTGTCCACTGAATAGACAGATGGGACCTCGGTTTGATGTTGCATCAAACATCAAACTCAACGTCACTCCAACTCAACGTCAGCAACACCAAGGCCCTCCTGATTGGCTCGCCCAATGCCTCCGCACCTCAGGCGCTGGCAGCATCAGCCTCCACGGCTGCACACTCAACCTCACTAAGCCAGTCAGGAACCTGGGTATCTTGTTTAACCCTAAACTGTCCTTTCTCCCCCACATCCGCGCCATGACCGGCACTGCCTACCACCACCTCCGCAACATTGCCAGACTTCACCAATGCCTCACCCCTCAGGCTGCCGAAACCCTCACCCATGCATTTGTCACCTCAAGGCTTGATTACGGGAACTCCCTCCTCATCGGCCTTCCCAACTCTTCCTTCGCAAGCTGCAGATCATCCAAAACTCTGCAGCTCTTGTACTCTCACGCACCAGGCTCCGTGACCCCGTCAATTTCACCCTCGCCCGACTCCACTGGCTCCTCATCCCCCAGAGGATCAAGTTCAAGATCCTCGTCCTCACCTTCAAGGCCATCCATGGCCTTGCCCCCTCCTACCTCTCTGACCTGCTGACTCCCTTAGAGCCTGTCCTCTATTCATCGGGCTCCGGCCTGCTCCATGTCTCCTGCCCGACCCGCCCTACCATCGATGGCCGGGCTTTCAGCTTCTCTGCCCCCACACTCTGGAACTCCATCCCACGGTCCCTTCGTATCACTTCCTTCCTTGCCTCCTTCAAGGTCGGTTTCAAGACCTTTCTCTTTGACCGTGCCTTTAGTCTCCCTCCCATCTCTCTGCCTTCCCTCACCCCTACACCACCCCCCTCCCCCATGCTCGGGCTCTGACACCTGACTGTTCAGCACTTTGGGACGTCCTTCCAACGTGAAAGGCGCTCTATAAATGTAATTTTGTTGTTGTTGTTGTTGCAACATCAGACTGTGGTCCCATCTGTCCATTCAAGTGGACGTTAAGATACTGTGATTCCATTTGAAAAAAAGAGTTTGTTTCGGTGTTCTGGCCATCAGTCCTCTAGTTGTTAAATTGTTTATGGGACAGTCGACAGTAATACTTTGTGAAGCACTTTGAGTCATTTTGACAACATAGACACGACATCTAATGCAATGATTGTTTAACACGCTGCGGTTCTGAATGCTGCTGCAGCAATCTCAAACCTCTGTAGATCAGGATGGATTAATAGGAGACGCTCCAAAGAGCTTCTTGTGTTTAAATGCACGGAGCACTTCAGTGGTTTGGTGGGTGGGGGCGCAGAAGCAGTAAGTCCAACGGTTGTAGCAGGCAGCTCGGGCCCACCCATTGCAACAGGCTCAGGGACAAGGGAAGAGGGTGATTGCACAGACAGTTAATAGACCACATTGACAGTTTTTGTCAACAATAAGATCAACGATAATTTTAACATATCACTAGTTACGATTTTCACCCCAGTGATGCAATATACTCAATCACGGGTGGCCAAAGTGTTTCTCCTTTGGCAACCTGAGACTTAAAGAGCTTTCCCTGAATGTATAAGGAAATATACTGGCTTAGTGATTCATGTTGATTTCCAGGACTATAAATAGCTGGCTGACCGTGCAAAGCTAATCTTGGTGATACTGTAACTGCTGATATAATGAGCACACTTCTTACTTATCTTCTTTCACAGTTGCCCAACTCCAGGTTGTGATGGTAGTGGCCACGTAACTGGAAATTATGCTTCACACCGAAGGTATGAGTTTATTTGCCCTCCCCAAGATAATGTGATATAAGAACTATCAGAGATGAGAAAGTGTTATGTCAATTTGGCTCAGTTGGAAGCATTTCGACTCTTGAGTAGAAGGTTGTGGGCTCAATCCCCACATCAGGAGTAATCTAGGCTAACACTACACTGCAATACAAAGGGAATGCTATATTGCTGCAGGTACCAACATTCAGTTGTTGTGCTAACCCAAGGTTCTCTATTCTGGTAAATGTTAGAGATCTCATGGTATTACTTTTAAGGAAGAGCAGGAAGTTTTCCGCTGATCTGCCTATTTTTTTTCCTTCGTCTAAATTCACAAAAAAACAAATAATTGATTTTTCATCTCACTGTCCTTTGTGGGATGTTGCTGGTGCAATTCAGCTCCCACGTTTGCTCAAATAAGAACATTCACTGCACTTCAAAGTAAGTCATTATGTGGAGCACTTTGAAACATTTCAACACAGTAAAGTGTGTGTTATTCGTTTTCACATCTATCAGAGGATGACTATTTACCAGCTTTTTCTCCAGTATTATTGCCAGTTGAACTTTCAATTCCATTTAAGTGTGTTCACACACAATAAATGTGTACTTTCAGAATGCGGTACATTTTTTAATAGCATTCTCACCTCTGAGTTAGAAGGTTGTGAATACAAGTCCAATTTGAACTCATACAGTCTAGGCTGACACACGCATCTAGTGCTGGGGGTGTGCTGCATTGTTGGAGGTGCCATCTTTCAGATGAGATGTTAAACCGATTCCGTCCGTCAGGTGGAGATTAAAGATCCCATGACACTACTCGGAAAGAGAGGGAGTTTCTCCCAGTGTCCTGGCCAACAATCCCCTAGGTAAAATAGGTCATTGACTTTAAGGCGGTTTATAGGACATTGCTGTGCACGAATTGGCTTCCATATTCACTTACACTATACACTACAGTTTACAGTATCTCCTGTGAAGTGCTTTAGAAATCCTCCTGACGTGAAAGGTGCTACATCAAATGTAAAGATTATTATTATTATAAAAATCAGTGTTAGAGTTAGGCTAGTGGAACAGAATGGTCTATTGTAAGTGTGTGTGCAATTAAGAAACATTCGTGCAAACTTTAGTGTTCATTTTTATTTTGTATTCTGTAACATTTTTACACCTGTACAAGCGAGTGGGAGAAGAGTTCCAACATGTTTGTGTGACCTATGTCTGGGTCTCTCATTGAGACCTGAAATTCCATTTACAATTAACGTATTGTTTTGAAATCTAAAATCACAGAGAATTGTGGAAAACAATAAAATTCTGCCTTAATTTCTGAAGTATGTTTCCTGCAGCTTCTTAAAAAGAACCAGCTTTCAAATACAGAACTAAATAATGTGTCACATTTCCGTCCCATCTTACATTTCAAGACAAATTGGGCTCACAGGCTAAGGCTAGGTGGAATTTAAGGCCACAGGACAACAACAACAAATTACAGGACTGGTGGCCTGTTCAAGGAGATCTGTCAGGAAATCAGGCAAATTAAACTCAAATGTAAACTCAAATCAGCCCAGGCAGCTGATGTGGAAAACACAGTTTGCTCAGTTGAACACCAAATCTGGGATTAGAAGATTCTGGGTGCAAATCCCGGTTTATCACTTTGAGTTTCGCATCTAAAATATTCTGTTTATGTGGGGAGGGTTGAAATGGCTCTGGATAGACATGGCTGGCAAAGCAATGCAGAGTCTACAGTAATCCCGGGCAGGCTTGGTGGTTTAGACATCTCCTCAGCCCTGCAAGGCATAGCCATGGGCAGTCCTAACTGGATAAGTATCATGCTGCCCATTGTTACCAAATATATAGCACATTGTCACTTGTCTCTGGGTACCCAGAGGGTGAAACCTTGGGCAAGTTTCCTTACTCCACACGCCTAATAATAATCCCTCCAAAAACCAAAAACAATAATAAATTGGTCATTTTCAATCTAAGACTGTTTGTGGGACATTGCTGTGCGCAATTGGCTGCCGCGTTCGCCCACAAATATACAGTCAATTCACTTTACAGTGTGTTCTGTGAAGCGCTTTGGGACGTCCTCCCAAAAAAAGCGCTATATCAAATGCAAGGATTATTATTATTATTATTATTATTATCTGGCAACTGAGGGTGAAGCTTCAAACTGAAATCTCACAGAGTATCTTTGTTTGCTCATTTTACCCCTTGATCCTAAATCCACTCGGGCACCACTCAGATGATTTTTCCTCTCTGAACCGTGGGGCATTGAGTATATCTATAGGACCCTGACTGCTGGCCCCTTTTAAGGTAGAGATCTACATCACTATAAGAGGCTATTCAACTCATTGTATAGCTAAACCCAGATCAGCTAATTCAATGGTGAAACAAGTGGATATCGAGCGTGGCTGCTTACTTAGTTAGATTCACTCTAGGCTAATGGCTTCATCAACTCAGCCATTTTGGAGCCCTCCTTAGGGTTTTTGCAGAAATAAAATGATTGAGAGAGACGTGCTTGTATTACCCTGATTGTGCCAAATGTTTTGTAGCCCATTCTGAATAGTGTTCTTCCCCTTTAACTCACGAGTTGGGGGAGCAGTGGTTAGTTTTCCATTGGAAATGCTCTGTAATGCCTGAGTCCTACTGACTTTTTTTCCCATTGCAGTTCCACAGTTTTCTGACTAGCACAACACTTAACTCTTGTGTAAAGGCAGTCCTGTGCTCAGAAATTATTCCTTATAAACAACATTTAAGAGGCCAGTTTTAATGCTAGCCAATCAGCCAGACAGCCCTCACAAAACAAAATGTGAGGGACGAATACTGAATATCAGAGTTCTCTAACCACGTTCTTGTGTGTGTTCCCAATCATTGCGATTACGAGCAGGAAGAATAAATCAGGCATCCACACTCCAAGTCATTTTACTGCTGGAGGACATATCACTTTTCTTCCAGCGGTAGAAACTGGGCATAAGAGTTTCTGCTGCAATACCAGTATTTGCCTGATAACTAAATTGCAGCACACAAAACACAGAACAGACAATTTGGTAATGACTGTGCTTTGTTATTTACACACAATATGCACAATTTCATCATGATGATTTCTGCCAATAACTGTATCTTGTCTGAACAGAACAATTGTCCCAACATTTGTGCCAGCATTAAAAATTGCTTCCTAGTAAGCTGCATATTTGGTTAAAAAATATCTCAAACTACCCTTGTGCTTATCTGAAAGGACACACTGCAATAATATGGTATGCATTGTTTGTGATTTCGACTGAATTGCATCTGAATTTTAAGTGATTTAAATTAATTTTTACCTGGTTGTATTGGAGGAATTATTGTGATGCATGCTAATCTCCTCGATATGTTTCAGTAAATAACAATAAAAAAACTCCCGCTGTCTCTGAGGTTAGAGTAGTATTAAAGCATTGCTTATATTGCACACTGGTTCAGTTTACTCATTTGTATAGTGCAAAGGGGGTTTTGCTGCCTGTTAAACTTGCAGGAAGTATTTTAGCTGAGTTTTGTTCTGACACATAGTTTGATACAAATTATTGTGCAGTTCTGCAAAGGGCATTATGTCCATTTAATTCCAATGCAAACAAAAGAGTAACTTAAAATAAACTATTGGGCTTCATTTGCAACAGTGGTACAATCTCCTCCGCTATCTGCAAAGGGAAATAAGGNAAAAAAAGAGAAATGCTTTGAGATACATTATTTTGTCACTTTCCAAGGTCTTGATATCCTTCCTAAAGCGTGGTGCCCAGAATTGGACAAAATACTCCAGCTGAGGCCCAACCAGTGATTTATAAAGGTTTAGCAGAACTTCCTTGCTTTGTACTCTATGCCTCTATTTTTAAAGCCAAGGATCTCGTATGCTTTTTTAACAGCTCCATCAACCTGCCTTACACCTTCAAAGACCTGTGTATGTGAACCTCAGGTCTCTCTGCTCCTGTACCCCCTTTAAAACTGTGCCATTTATTGTATATTGCCTCTCCTCATTCTTCCTCCCAAAATGCATCACCTCAAACTTCTCATCGTTAAACTTCATCTGCCATGTGTCTACCCATTTCACCAGCCTGTCAAATGTCCTGCTGCAGTCTGCTGCTATCCTCCTCACTATTTACTATGTTCCATGTATCAAATGCAAGGACTATTATTATTATATCTTATCATTTACAGTAGATTGACACGTACGTCTGATCTCTTGGGCAAAGTAGAACATGAGCAATTTAAGTTTGAATGCATGTCAAATTGCAAATGCAGAATATAGCATGATCCAGAAACCATCCTGTGACACAGAAATGTTAGGTCACGTCCTTTGTCTTTACTTAGTGTCTCAGTAGGGTCTAAAACACAATACTCGCGACCTGAATTCACACAGGATTTATCGATACTGAATCCTGGCAGAAACCGGAGTGTGTGGCACTCTGATGCACTCCAGCACAACCAGGGGTAGATCCCGCCAGAACAAGCGTTCCCACGAGCCCACGTGATGCTAATGTGGTGCAACAGCGAGATTCACAAGCAAATCTTGTGCCAAATCATTTTTTTGACCCCAGCGTAAACTTGAACCCAATGCGGATTCTGAAAAATGCAGTCAGTTTGGCTGTAAATTTTAGATGGGTGAGAGTTGTGATGGGGATCACTTCAGAGAAAATTCCACCCATTTGGTATCTGACCAAACGGTGTAACCCACGCACTCCGACTAAATTCATGTGGTTGACGCTGAAGTGGCTTGTTGACCAAGAGAGTGACATTTGAGTGACAGTTCCTGATATACTGGCTTAACATAGCAAAAAATAGTCCGCCCGTGACTTTGGGCCCATTTTGAAGAAGTCAGGAGTGTGTGTTGCTCTTACCCCACCCAGACACCGACAGGGTGGAATGTTCCATAACATGATGATTATTGACGATGATATTTGTATCTTCAAGTTGTAATTATCATCTTAATATAGCTATAAAGTGGGGGAGAGAGGAATTTCTTTCAGAGCATTTTACAACAGACTGAATGCAATAAATCAATCACATCTATTTCAGTTCTGAAATGTCACAAATTTACCTCCCCTCATAATACATTGCTGAAATGATGGTGCCAACGACACAGGTTAATGCACAGTAAGCAATGACTGTAAATGATACACCTGAGGAGTTTGGCAGGAATTTATAACTTTCTTTTAGTGTTTTGAATCATTCTAAAATATTACCAACCAACTTAAGAATATGTAACAATTAACCTGGCACCTGGAAATCTGGCCGTCGATTCAATATTTTAAAAAATCTATTTGGGGAAAAAAAAGTATGCAATTGAACGCAGAGTTTAAATCTAAAGGTGTGATTCTCGGTTGGCAGCTTACCTGTAACAAGGTGAAACACACATTTGTTTTTGGAATTTGTTGCTTTTTGTCCTGCTTAGGGCTTCTTTATTATCAGAAAGGTAATGAAAAACACATTTTTCTTTTTGCAGTGTCTCCGGTTGTCCTTTAGCTGACAAAAGCCTTAAGAGTCTTATGGCCGCCAGCTCCCAGGAACTGAAGTAGGCATCAAACTCTATTTTTATATAATTTTTTTCCAGGTTTGCTCCTTGTATTCCCAACAAGAACTCCAGTTTCAGTGTAGCCTTCTTCAACCAGACTGATTGTGCGCTCAAGTCCGTCTTCTCAAACGCCTGTTATCAGTGTCACCCTGTGAAAGGTTGAGAGGAAAGTGCCTGTTTATAGCAGGGAGACAGTCAGTATAATTTTTGCTATATGTGGGATGTGGAATCACATAGTCTAAGATGACACTCCAATGTAGTGCTGAGGGTGTAGTGTGATATACAATGTAGTGTTGGAGGTCCCATCCTTTGGATGAGATGTTAAACCGAGGTCCCGATTGCCTGTTCACATGGACGTTAAAGATTCCCTGACACTATTCGAAAAGAGAAGGGAGTTTCTCCTGGTGTCCTGGCCGACGATCCTCCAAATAAAATCGATCACTCGCTCCATGGTGTGTGTGGGACATTGCTGTATGCAACTGGCTGCCGCATTTCGTCCAAAAAATTCAGTCAATCCACTTGTATATCCTTTGAAGCGCTTTGGGACTCTCAACAACATGTTAAGGTTGTTGAAATGCAAGGATTATTATTATTAATTTCCTACTTCTTTTAAAGCTTTATTAAAAAGGACTCTATTTCAAATACCAATGTCTGCAATAGAATAGAGCAATCTTCTTTGTGTGTTTGTTGTGACTGTAACTGATTGTGTGTGTGAGAGAGACTCCATGTTTGCATGTTTGATTATGTGTGGTGTGTGCATATATGAGATTATGCGTGTGTAATTTGTGTATGAGTGCGTGATTATATGTGTGCGCCTGGGTGCATGTGAATGTGTATGTTTGCTTGTGTGTTTGTGTGCTCATGTGATTAATTCTATGCACTAGTGGAATAAAATGTTGATCTCTGATAAAATCGCAGTTTGTAGTAGGTCTTTGTTCATTGGTTGTTTTACTGCTATATAAAGTGTTGTTTGGGATAAGGATAAAAGTGATAGCTCATAATGCAAGAGTTACAAGAGTCATTCATTCCAAACAGCTTTGAGATGTATGGTGATTTTGATTCTTTTAAAAATGCTTTAGCCTAGTCCAATAGTATAAGTCCTTGGACATCATCAAGAAGATATGCAGAGCAGATGCCAAGAGGGCCATAATTGCGCCTCAGTCCTAGCTTGTGAGACCAGTTTGTCTTAACATTTAGTATTGTAAAATTGTGGAAAAGTATTTGATTCATTATTCATTTAGAAGCTGGTTTTGTTCAGTTATTAGAAAGGAACAGCTTCCAAATTAAAATTAGTCTGAGAATTTTCCATAATATTGTTCAATCTTAAATCTTAAAATCTCATCATCTTAAATTTTGAGATTTTTAAATTTAAAACAAAGTAGAAATTCAAGCCCTAATTGCTTTCCCACAGGAAGGTGAACAGGCAAAATGGGGTGATATAGGAATTCACCTCAGAGCTTTCTCACATACAGTAGTGAGCAACTTAAGGAATATCATTCCAGAGTGTTTTTAACTAATCAATACCCTTTGAGTCAGATAATGAAATGGGCAAAACAAACATTAAATAAACGAGTGGCTTCATTTCAGAATCAAGCTCATTGTTCTAAGTCATTGTGTTGCCTTCTAAACCCCATTTGGACCACCCTAGATACTTGCAAAATGGCTAGTATTTGAAGATGTTCATTCCATTCACTTTGCACTGCAGAATTTGCAGGTTTAATGTCAATTTGTTTGCACGTATTTGCCGGTCCAATTGCAAGGACACTTGTGGTGGTGTCATCTGAGGGAGGAGGCAAGGGGAAATGCTACCTGTGGAGGGAGGGAGTACTGATTTGGAAGGAATACAATTACAATGCAATGTTGAGAAGGAAAAAAAATCCTTTGTATCCGAATGCTGTTTTACTTATATCACTTATAAGCTTTGTTGTGCCTCAAACTTTTAAAAATGCTCCAACCAACCTGGTGAGTCCAAACACCAACATGAACACCAACATGCTGTTTTGTTGGTCAGCCAGGTGTCTGAAAAGCACTGAATGCTGCAAAAGTACAACTGGAAATAAACGAGATAAAAATTGTGTATCTGTAGTGTAGATGGTACCTTTGTGTTGTTGGCAGTTGAATTAATTTGTTATACTTGTAACACTATAACATCAAGCCTGCTGTGTCTGAAGACCAGCTAGAATGTTGTCCAGATTGTCAAACTCACTGCTGAAGCTTCCTCAGGACATGGAGGGTATTATGTTCACATCTGTGTGAGGTGTCCACAGTGCATCAGCTGCAAATCTGATTGCTGTGTTCTTAATAATCAGACAGAAAATTGATTTAATACCAGATCACAGTCCAAAAAGTATAATGCCTGTCTTTACATACAGTTCCTTGGCTGCTCTAAAATTCTTACCTCGTCTCTTTTTGTTAGGTGTCCGACACCTGGTTGTGATGGCTCCGGTCACGTGACTGGCAACTATGCTTCACACAGAAGGTAAGCCAGGTTAACATAATACTGCAAGTCATAAGGCCAGTGTTTGCAAACGCTGGATTCACTATACATGAATGTACTATTCATTGTATCTTCCAGCTTATCGGGATGCCCACGTGCAAAAAAAGGTGGCATTAAACTGACCCCCAGTAAGGATGACAAAGAAGATGCGGAACTAATCAGGTACGGACGGCAACAGCTGATTAGCTTACAAATTCTATTTGGAGAGAGAGTGAATTAGAAGGTACCTGTTGGCACAGACCTAAGGAGATTTTTTTGTGCAGTTTGTCTGCTTTTGGGAATTGCAAAGAGCCACTCTGGAAGTTGAGTGCACTGCCTCCAAAAGGCCATAGATTTAGAATTGATAGCACAAAAAGGAGATGTTGAAAAAGGAGATAAATATTTAGGAAGCAGAGGATATTAAGGGATAATGGAGAAAAAGTGGGCAAATGTAATTTAAACATCAGCGATGAGCTAATGCAATGGCAGAATAGGCTCTTAAAGCTGAATTGCCTTCTCCCATTCCTGTGACAGAATTCAAGTAAACGCATTGAAAGCTTAATTTCCAGAGTATTCAGAAACAATCGACAGTTTAAATAGATGTTACAGTGAGTTCGAAATAATAGTATTTCCACTAAAGTCATGACCTGGATTTCTCTTGTGGAAAATGTATTTTACGATCAGTTGGTGTATAATAAACAAAACTTTTCCATGTACATTTTAAAAATAACGAAAAATGTGCTGTGAATTTGTAGCTCACGCTTCACACAAAGAGACAATTGATTTGTACAGAAGTATGGTCATTTGGCAGCACTGTGTTTTATTTGTTTCAGATGCCCGGTGATAGGCTGTGATGGGCAGGGTCACATCTCTGGCAAGTACTCCTCCCATCGCAGTGCGTCAGGTTGCCCACTAGCTGCAAAGAGACAGAAGGAAACTGCTCTGAACGGGTCCCAGTTCCCTTGGAAACCTGGCAAAGCAGAAAGCACAGCCTGCCCTACGCCAGGCTGTGATGGGACTGGTCACATTAATGGCAGTTTTGTCACACACAGAAGGTTAGTGTAAACCTCCCTTTTTGCTGCTTTTCCGAAATTAAAAGACATTTCAACTACTGTGTAGCTGGATCTAAACTGGAGCTTGCTTGCCACATATTACCATACTTAATTTAATGCAGTTAGATTTAGCCACATTCGCATTCATCTTTTAACCTGCTTTTTATTCTAAACAATGTTGCTGATCAGTAAGTTGGAATTGTTTTTTAGGGAACCAAGTACTTTCTTTTAGTGTTTCTATCACATATATGAAGCGGGTCAGAATGTGGTGAAAATGCTTTAATCAGATCAGATATTATTATTATTATTATTATTATTATTATATAAGATAACTGAAGTCTTTTTTGTATACAACAAAAAACAGAATTTAAAAAAATATTAAGAATGTTAATAATGGTAAATCTGTTTATTTACGCCAAGCTTTTAACATGTTTTTCACGGAGATTTGGCATAAAAGGCAGAGTGCAAAGCATGTAGGAGCTAAGTATTCATGAAGAGATTGGCACTGGGGGCCCAACTGTGGTATCAACTCACGAAGGCGGTTACTCCAGATCATTGATTTGCATTACTGCAATATGAATCGATTTGCTCTCATAACAAATTGGTCCCTTAAAAGTTCTTTGTTCCACTCCCTCCCACCCCCAGTACATAATCTGTCATTGATGTTATCAATAATATTAAACATTTTGAACGCCAATAGTTTGTGGCGTTCTCCAAATGTTCTTTATCTGTGTCAGTAAAGAGTGAATATGCCTCATCTGTTTGAGAATTATTAGGAGTAAGATTAAAATCATTCATCCTGCTTTCAATCGCTATATTCCTCTATAGCTCATTACATTAAAACTATAAAGCAGGCATTCCCTTGAAACTTCTCTCACTTTATTTTGTACTGTTCTAAGTCATCATCTATTCTAAGGTTCCTTTGAATTGTTGACACCTCAAGTGCATTGCATGAGCAGAGGTGCTTGAGCTAACTGCAAAAATGCCTGTGAATAGATCTCATAACGGCTCAGCAGTTCAGTGTAAATTTGTAGTTTAACTGAATTTGCTTCCTTAAAATGGAGATGGAAAGTTGCTTTTGACTGTGTGTATGTCTACAGTTTGTCAGGATGCCCCCGAGCCTCCCTAGCGCTGAAGAAAGGCAAACTCTCGGGTGATGAAATGATGACCATCAAACTGAGGGCAAGCAGTGGTAAGAACAATATGAAGCCCTGATGCCCCTCCTCTGGAACATCCTGTGCAAATATCCCTCTGCACTCTCCCTGCGCCCTCGTTGTTAAAAACTAATCTAAAAGCAATCTTTTCAACCGGTCATTCAGTGAGTTCAGTCCTACCTGCACTACTTCTCACCGTACTCAACTTCAACCCTATTGTTGTGAAGCGCTGCAAATAGTTATCTTATTTGAAAGGCACTCTATGGTTGAAAGCGGCCAACCTGGCTCAGTTGGTGGCACTCTTGCCTGATTCAGAAGGTTATGTGTTCAAGCCCTATGTTAGGACTTTGAGTTCATAGTCCAGTGTGGCACTCCAATACAGTGCTGGAGGAGTGCTATAACTATCAAAGGTATCGTCCATTGGATTTACCTGTTTGATATTATAGCATTGGAGAGAGTACAAAATTTACAAACTGAGGCAATGGTAAATTGTGAAGGGAATTGCAAAAGAATGTTAGAAGTCATGCAGACTTCTAGCAGGCTAGCAGAATGGGCAGATAGATGGCAAATGAAGTTTAATATACGAAAATGCAAAGTAATTCACTTCAGCAGGAAAAATAAAGAAGCTGTCTATAGTCTGGAATGTAGGAACCTAAGTGAAATGGAGGAGCAAAGAGATCTGGGGATTCAGATCCACAAATCTTTAAAAGTAGCCACACAGGTAGCTAGGGCTGTAACATCGATCAATGGGGTCATGGGCTTTATATCCAGAGGGATAGAATATAAAAGTGAGGTGATGTTCAATTAATACAAAATCTTGGTTAGATCACATTTGGTTTATTGTGTCCAATTCAGGTCTTCACATTATAGGAAGGATATAACAGCAATGGAAAGAGCACAGCATAGGTTGATGATGATACCAGGGCTAGCAGGTTACTGCTATTAAGATAGACTGGATAGGTTAGGCCTTTTTTCACTCGGGAAGAAATGTTTAAGGGGGACCTAAATAATAATAATAATAATAATCCTTGCATTTGATATAGCGCTTTTCACGTCGGGAGGACGTCCCAAAGCGCTTCACAGAACACACTGTAAAGTGAATTGACTGTATATCTGTGGGCGAACGCGGCAGCCAATTGCGCACAGCAATGTCCCACAAACAGTCGTGGATTGAAAATGACCAATTTATTATTGTTTTGGGTTTTGGAGGGATTATTATTAGGCTCTGTGTGGAGTAAGGAAACTTGCCCAAGGTTTCGCCCACTGCCTGGAATTGAACTCAGGTCTCTCACTTGCAAAGCGAGTGCTCTAACCACTGAGCTACAGGACTCCACAATAGAAGTGTTTAAAACTATAAAATGGTTTGATAAGGTTAATCTAAATTTCCACTGGTTGGGGAATTCGTAACCAGGGGACACAAATATAAAATAGCGACTAGGGGATCTAAAAGAGAATTTTGGAGGAACTACTTCATGCAGAGGATAATGAGATTGTGGTACACACTGCCTGAAGTGGTGATTGAATCAGATAGCGTAGGTGCATTTAGGAGGAAGGTAGAACTCCACATGAGGTAGAGGATATGGAGGGAGTAAGGAATGGGTAAAGACTTGTATGGAGTAAAAACGTTGGCGCAGACTGGTTGGGGCCGAATGTCTTGTTTCCGTGCTGTACATTCTTTGTAATTCTTTGTAAGTTTTTGCCTATGACACTAGGAATACCTCCCCTCTCTTTTTGAATTGTGCTGCGGGTTCTTTAAAGTCATCCAAAGGACAGCATTTCTGTGAGTCCCGAAGTGGGGCTTGATCCCACAACCTACTGATTCAGAGGCGAAACTACTACCCAATGAGTCAAGCTGTCACCTAACACTTTCTTTAAAGCTTTCTAGAAGTATTAAGCAGCATGGCAAAGAGCAGGATACTGAGATTAAAAGATTTGCCAAGATTAAATAAACTCATGGAACATGCTTGATGGGTTGAATGGCCTCCTCCTGCTCCTGCTTTCTTCTGTCCTTATAAGGGCATGTGCATGACTTGTATTCCGTGACAATAAATCAGGTTCTTTATTTTGCTATAGGGGCGGAAAATGACGAGGAGATCAATCATTTGGATGATGAGATTAAAGAGTTGAATGAGTCAAACCTGAAAATGGAAGCAGATATGATAAAGCTCCAGACACAGGTAAATGATAACAAGGACTAGAGGTAGAAGCGCCACGAAAATGCCATTTAATGCATTTTTACACAAACTCTGAAAATGCTTTATCTGTAGAAAGGGGTTTCATGCACTTAAGTGCAAAATATTTCGGTGCTCTTCTTAAATGTTTTAAGTTTCTAATTTATTTGCTCTGCAGTGTTAGATAAGTATGGTAGCTTTATGATTTAGCTAACCCAACAGCAATAAGCTCAGCTTGTTGCACATTCCTAACTGCAAAGCGCTTGATACTAGCTGTCAGTAATAAATCAACACTGTATTTCTGTAAGTTTGTAAAAGTGACTTTTTACGCCCATTATGTAATTAAGAAAAATTATTTCTAAATTTTTAGATTACATCCATGGAGAGCAATTTGAAAACAATTGAGGAGGAGAATAAAGTAATTGAGCAGCACAATGAGAGTTTGTTAAAGGAATTAGCTGGTCTGAGTCAGGCCCTTATTAACAGCCTCGCTGACATCCAACTCCCACAAATGGTAAGATATCAAACTAGTAACTCAAACTAAAACATTTTTCAGTAGCATAATAACTATGAGAATGTGAGTATTTCTTTCTTGAACACCCCAACCCACTCCTGAATTCCCCAAAAAATGAAGTGCAATGTAATTGGTGCGTTTTGAATGAGGCAGCTCATTTTTTCCAGTATTATAACCCTAATATAAAGGAGATATTACTTTCTCAAGAGAAATAAAATTCAAGATCAGGGTCAATCTGAATACACGGGCTGCTGTTTCAACCTTGCCCATTGCTGCTGGTAGGATGGACTTACTTAATAAATGAAACTGCATTTTTTTGTGCTTGGTGGGATGTTTTATTTGATGTCATTGAGTCACAGACAATTTCCATTGGGAGGGAGACTGCTCCTGGAGCCGTGGGAGTCCCTGCACCCACAAGATGTGTCAAAGAGAGGATGGAGAGGAGCATTGTGACCATTGATTTGATTCCCGCCCCTCACCACCACCATCACAATACTACAACACTCTAATTGTGATTATAAAACTACATCCCAAGCTGGTCTGGTAGTTGTGTGATCAATTCACTTCCCTCCCATAGGTGAAGCTTGGCCTTTCCTGGAGTCCTGGCTTTAGTCAACTGGGTCTGACACATATAGAACCCACCATCAAGCTTAAAAGTATCAAAGTTAGACTGAGAGCTCCACATATGTCTGCCACCTACACATGGAGATGTCTCTGCATCTGGAATGGAATGTGTACTCTCTCCCTAAAGAATACACCCTCACTATGTACCCACAAAAGAAAGTCATCCCATTTTACAGTATTTCCTGTGAAGCACTTTGAGACTCCTCTTGACATGGAAGACGTTATACCAAATGCAAGGAGTATAATTATTATTTATTATATATAGTTACTATACACTTGGAAGAAGGTTCCATTAACAAATATTGTTTATTTGCAAAGATTATGACTGCGGCTGAAAATACAGTACTAGGAAACCAAGAAACTGAGAGGTAGAAATGCACCGTTACATGCAATGAGATCGTATTTTAAGTTATGCGGTTCAAAATTTGTCCGAATGCAATAGTATGAAACTTGAAGCCTGCAGCAGTTAATACTATCTAACCTCACGGTGCCACCTATTGGTGAATATCTGGTAAATGCAGGATAACCTGAAACAGTAAAAAGTCTAACAGTTTACATTCTACAGTTTGCCTGCAAATCGGATTTTGCGGAAGGCATATTAAATGATACAACTTTGGTGAATTTTACTGTAGTAATAAGGGCAACTCAGTATTCCAGCCCCTTTTTCACTGACAGCCCTAATAGCAATTTCCCACAGTATGTAAACTTTTATTTGTAATCAGAAGTAAGAGCTATACCTTTTACTGACTTGGCTTCAGAGGCTGACGAGTGGGTCGATATTGGTCTCCTCATTCCTCCCCATGGTATTAGAGCATCTTTATAACTTGATACCTCAACATGGCACAAACAAATATTATCACAATCTTAAAGGGGAGAGGGTGCAAAGGAGATTTACCAGGTTGGTACCAGGATCAGTTATCTGGAGAGGCTAGAGAAGGTTTAGAGGAGACTTAATAGAAGTTTTCACAATTATGAGGGGATTCGATAGGGTGAACAAGGAGAAACAATTTTATCAATAACAATTTTTAAGAGAGAAGTAGATAATTATTTGGGGAGGACAATTTTGCAGGGCTATGGGGAGAGAGCAGGGGAGTGGGATTGATTTGGATGGCTCTTTTCAAAGAGCCGGCACAGACACGATGGGCCGAATGGCCTCCTTCTGTGCTGTATAATTCTATGATTCTATGATAACAGCCAATGGACCAAAGGAAATACAGGTAAGTGCACAGTGTGGGGATGAACATGAGTTGGGTGCTAGAGGTTTTACGAATGAGAAAGATTTGGAGAGATGTGGTCAAAGGAAATCACAAGCTGCAGTCACTCCTAAGGATAGCTTTGAACCATGCGAGCAATTTGAGAGCCAGCAAGAATAATGCTTGCAGCATTGAGTAAAAATTCTTCCACACTCTTATGGGTGAAAATCTGCCATTTGCTGTAATAATTATCATATTGCAAAAAAGTACCATTTAAACCTGTATTGATTACCAACAGGTTTGGTAATCAATTCCCCCCCACCCACCCTCACCCCCCCAAGGTGGTAGCACACAGGTAGCTAGGTTGCACCTGAGAGTTCAGGTCAAACCATTGATACAATGGTGTGTGCTGCCACCTTTGTTGTGGCTCACGTGATCACTGTATTTGAGTCCCACTGCACAGAACACCAGGACTGCTCCGAGTTCAGTCACATTCCAGGTTGCGGGAGTCAAGTGCAGCAATGGGAAGAGGCGAACATAGTCTTTGGTCAACTTCAGGCATTTGTAAGTGAGAGACCTGGGTTCAATTCCAGACAGGGCGAAACCTTGGGCAAGTTTCCTTACTCCACACGCCTAATAATAATCCCTCCAAAACCCAAAACAATAATAAAATTGGTCATTTTCAATCTATGACTGTTTGTGGGACATTGCTGTGCGCAATTGGCTGCCGCGTTCGTCCACAGATATACAGTCAATTCACTTTACAGTGTGTTCTGTGAAGCGCTTTGGGACGTCCTCCCGACGTGAAAAGCGCTATATCAAATGCAAGGATTATTATTATTATTATTGTTCCGAAATCAGGGATGGGGGACGAGGGGAGGGAGGGAGAGTTCACACTCAGAGATGTCGATAATTAAAGGCAGATTTATATCATCCATTTGACAATTTGATCATATTATACGCAGCATTTTTCACTTCAGAGTCTCTGGAAACACCAAATTAGGATAAGAAAGAAACCAGGTCCTCAGCCTTCAATGACCATTCAAAGCTTTTTTTGTTTCGAATAAATATTGGCCTTTTCCTGCTATTTGAGAATGAGCACCTTGGTTAAAATTGAACATTCATTGCATGGCTGTTTGTGGGACTTTGCTGTGTGCAAATTGACTGCCATGTCTGCCCACAAAAAAACACACAGGCTCTCTACTTTACAATGTATCCTACAAAGTACTTTGAGACATCCTCCTGATGTGAAAGGCGCTGTAGCAAGGGTAAGGATTTAAAAATATATATTAATCGTGCTTGCACCTTCTCAACACCCAAATCTGTATTTTTCTCTCAGGAGCCAATCAGCGAGCAGAATTTTGACGCATACATGAACACTCTGACTGACATGTACAGCAGTTTGGAACGGAATTACACCCCTGAAAGCAAGGCACTTCTTGAAAGCATTAAACAAGCAGTGAAGGGCATCCAGGTGTGAATCTTGTCCGCTCGAGTCTCCCGGTGCCTCTTCTGTAAATGCTACTGACTTTTTTTTATTCATAGGCAGTACAATTCAGCTTCAAGTGTTTGACGCACATGTGATAGTGGCATGTCTTAGGAACAGCAAAAAATCTCCATTTACAACAGCCACTTAAGCAGGATGAGAAACCATCCCATCGCTGAGGGGCTGTAACTCAGAGGTATCAAAAGCAAGAGCTGGAACACTAGTTTCCCTTTGGGAAATACATGAAGCTTCATAATGCATTTGCAGTTCTTTTTATATCAATGCTGTGAAATCATGTCACCGAGTTACAGACCCCCTTTTGAAATCAGATTGGAGGCTAATTTCTGTAGTACAGCTGTCATGTTACTTAAAAAAAATTTTCAAATATTTTGAAGTGGACACATCATGTGCGATAAGTAAAAAGACACTATTATAAAGGGCTGATTTGTAACAATTTTCAAACCCAGCCTATGTGGGTCCATGATGCAATGCTGATTCTTTTAAAAACTAAATTGGAAGGGATGACAGCACCTATAACACTGCACTTAAGATACTTTCCTTTTGCACCAATTTGTTTTTTTTAATATAATTTGTTGTATAAAGTGTGTGATTAGGTTATTTTTTTACACCACATTATTTATTGATTTTATTTAAGATATTTTTGTTCTTTTAATCGCGTGAATGTTACTCTACTATATATTTAAAGGAATGGTTTTCTGAAAAAAGGTTTATAAAATAATTTTAAAATGACAAAAGAAAACAGATTTTTTTATATATATATATAAGTGACATTTCTCTTTGGGCTTTGAATGAGGAACAAATAACATTATTTATGTCTTTTGTGAGTTCCGAAGCAAAAGATTTTATTTTAGTTGTGATAATTTGTTTTCTGACGCATTTATTTTCTTACCACTGTGTTTTGCTAGATATATATTTTCTTTTTATATTGCATTTTGTACAACCAACTGAGCAATCAAAGTGAGACATGCAAAAGGAAAGTGTAACGTGAATCACATTGCCCTCTAGTGAAGATACTGAGCTGAAAATTACATACAATACAATGTGCAAGATTACTTATCCTAGTGATAGTTCATGACAGATAAAGTCTGCATATCAGGGACTACTGTACAGTAATAGAGAAGCAAAGGAACTAGAGAAATATCAACAAATGGCTTCTATGAAAAGGTTTTTATTGATTTTTTTAAAAAAACTATCAAATGTCAGACACTTCTTATGCACTCTATTACATCATAAATTAGCTTAAAAAAATTGTTTTGTGTGTGAGTGGGTGTGCAGGGGTTGACCCCTCTTTTCCTGCACACGCATGTGCCACTTGCACATATGTGTAGTGCATGTGTTCTTGCACTGCGAGTACTTGACTTGAGTTAGGGTGCGTGCTTGTATTTGTGTCTGAGGCGACAGCTGATGGCTAGACATTGACTGGGAACATTTACCTGTATGATTTGGCCTACTCCTGTTCCTATGTTCCTAAAGCCTGGCTTTCTTTACTTCCCAGTTTGGGCTCCCAGTTGTGAAACACTATATAAAGACAGGCATCCTCCCAACATGAAAAGCGCTATATAGGTGTGATATTGTTGTTGTGCTGCTGTGATTTGGTATTTTACACCGTCTCCCAGTACCTTTTATTTCTATGAACCTTTTTTGGGTTGTTTGATTTTAGATCGACAGTTGATGGTGGTTGAGTTAATGACATGAGTTAACGGTGACCACATAACAGCAATACCTGTTACAATCATAGAGCTGACACCATAGTGGAGGGTCATTCAATCCATTCATTTAAGATGCTACTAGCTCACTTCACTGGATCTAATCTCAATTCCCTACTTATTCCCCAAGCCCTTTTGGATTGTTCCACTTCAAACATTTATCAATTGCCTTTTAAATATTGTTATAGTCTTAGCTTTGAATATTTACTTGGGGCAAAGCATTTAGTTTAACATGGAAAATCTCCTAATCTCCTTAATGATTCTAGTACTAATACTGGGTTTAGGCCCTTTTGATATTGATCTATCGATGAGTGGGAATAATGTATCCCATTGAGCATGTTCTGCTACTCCAGCAACTGGACCAGTTTTTCAGCAACATAACTCTGCAAATGTTCTGTCCTTCACCACCTCTCACATAGCCTGTGACTCATGTTCGGGCACAGTTCTACATGCTCTGGCAGCCCTCTGATATCTCGCTTAAGTAACCATTCAGCAATGTAGTACTTCAGACAGGAAGGGGGCAAAGCAGCTGTACCTGATCATGTGTTTACATGATATCCAGGCAGGTGCTTTCTAGCAGGGATCCAGTCAGTGACAAATAAAAACAACAACCTTGGATGATTTGTGTCCCCTTCCTAACCTGAGGGCTAATTCTGCTGCCGCAGACAAAATGAATCATTGAGTGAGAAGGAGTTATGGTTATATTGTAACCTAAGATCCTGAAACAGTCAGAAGCAGGGTTCTCTGAAACTCCTCCTTAGTTACTGCCAAATTGACTTGTAGTGATAATCTTTAGTTTACATCCCTTGGTGTTGGAGGCCTGAATTGATTACCAATAAACAGGCTGGTTTACTAAGACAATGAGAGGAAGGAAATACTGTAGCTGCTGAATGAACAAACAAATGTAGAGATGAACGAATGCTCTTTTCTCGTTCAGCACTCTCTTGCTATGTAGTTTTCACATTCTCAAAATAGCCAAAGAAATAATGATCTCATTTGTAGCATCAATTTCACTTTGCTGGCAACTAACCTGCTAAATGATTTTGTAAGACAATTTACAAGGCAATTTAGGAATCATTTCCCATTTAAATTTGAACCTGTGTTTTTTTTAAAAAAACAATTCTCTGTTCTTCCAAAGCTCCCAAGAAAGTTAATTCTACTTTGAACTTGCTGTCAATTCAGTTCTGATAAGAACAATTCTTGCCTTCTTCACTTTGGTTTCTGTCTTGATTGAGGAACCTCTATTGGAAATTAGAGCTTAACTTATTCACAGGCTTCAAGAGGCAATTGTCGTTATTACAATCAAACAACCTATGGAAAGATCATATTGGCTCCTGGGGAACTGAAAACATACCTGGTTTTAGGCTAAAGACCATTGTCTTAAACTTTCAGATCTGGCAGAAATTTGGCAAATTTGATCTTGATTTTGAAGCCAATTTTCCGCAGTTCTTTTTATTGACCCCCAAATTCAGGCTGTCCATGGGACATTGCACAAAATGTAAGCCATGTTTGCTTACAAAAGCAGTGCATATGTCATTGGACAGTGCTTATTGTAGTACATATGTTTTGATGGGATGAGGCACTGGAAAAAATGTGAGTTCTCTCTTAGAATTGGCGCCCAGCAGAGGTTTATCTGATTTTCCCAAAAGATCCCACACTCCCAATAAACAAAACAGATCAGCTGTCTCTTCAAACAGCAAAAGCACCTGCTACCGGATTGTAACTTCTGTGATATCTGCTGAATATAGAAAGGACTAAAAGAACGTACTGTCACCACACATCAGTTTTATAAACAAAAAATACTGTGGTAATAAACTGAAACTTAAAGCAAAGCACTGCTTTTAATTTATTTCTTTAAGTTCAGTTTTATACATATATAAAACAATTTTGTAATCGTCTACATTTTTTTTGTGCTCATTCATAACTATTATTTGTAATTGCTTGAAGCTGATTTAAATGTGCTGTTCACTGTTTTGCCTCAGGTATTTCTGTGTAGTACATTAATATTTATTGTTTGAACCGATTCATACTTGATGTGTTTTGTAACGTGCACTGAATTGTTCGTTGTGTCCACTTGCATTAATAATGCTAGACTTTATTGTAAAATTGGCATTTTTCAGCCTCAATGAAGTGTACATTTTTATGTTTTGGTAGGTTGTACATTGATGTTTCAACATGTAATTGTTTATTTCTTACAAGAAAACAGAATTGTGTTGTATACTATACATTTTTTTGTATGGTAGCAAATAAAGTTGATAACCAAATATTTTTTTTATGGCATTAATTGTATTCTTTCCTTGCGAAACAAGATCAGACGTTCGGATGAGATGTTAAATCAAGGTCCCATCCCGTTGTCCAACTGTGCGCAAATTGGCAGTCGTATTCTCCCTACAAAATACACACGGCTGCATCACTTTACAGTATATTCTGTGAAGCACTCTGAGTCATCTCAATGATGTGATAAGGCACTATATCAAAATGCAAGGATTATTATTATTATTAACTCCGCACTTTCAATTGGTGGAACCATCATTCAATGGGAAGGGATGTGTGCCCGAACTGTGGACAGGGAAACGGTGGCAATGCTCTCATGCATTTCATGCTGCTATGCATTGCCATCGGGAACCTCGCAAGAGGGGAGATAAGTGGGGTCGTCTTGGAGCTCAATTGCCTCCAGGATGACACGCCTGGGAACGAAATATTGGAATCGAGCCAGCCCTCTATGGCGGTGGCGGGGGTCCGGTTCCTGAGCTAGGTGGGTCCGCAGTATTCCAGGGCACTGCTGGTGACAGCAAAGCCAGCCTGACTCATCGACAGGACCCGGAAGAGCAGACCAGTCACTGGGGCCAAGGAGTCATCTCACTCAGCTCCGGTTAACCCTATAACCCAAAGATCTGTTCGACTGTCAACTGTGCTTCATCCCCACATCCGTGCCATGACCCGCTATTTCCTTTTCCTACCTCTGCAACATCGCTCGGCTCCACCACTGTCTCACATAACAGGCCGCCTGGTCCCTCATCCACGCATTCATCACATCCAGGCTCGACCTCGCAAATTCCCTGCTTGCCAGCCTCCCCAACTCCTCCCTCCATAGGCAAGAGACCATCCAGAACTCTGCAGCTCGGGTCCTCTCCCGCATCAGGCTCCGTGATCCTATCACCCCCATCCTTGCTCAGCTCCACTGGCTCCCCATCACTCAGAGGATACAGTTCAAGATCCTGGTCCTCACATTTAAAGCCCTCCATGGCCTTACTCTCCCCTACTTCTGTGACCTCCTGCCCTGACTGTCTAGCAACTTGGAACATCCTCCTGACATAAAAGGCACTATATAAATGTAACTTGTCGTTGTTGTCGATTTAACAATACAAGTATGGGGAAGAATGATTCTGAAAGCAGACACAGAACCGCTCTTCATTACTTTCCAGAGACCACTACTGATACATACCCGTGTCTCTTTCTCATTAAAACAGGATTGAGCTTGGCTGTGATGCTTCCCCCCCCAACTCAAAACTCCAACTCAAATTGTTTGCCAACGCTCACTGTCAAGGACTGCACAAGAATAATGGCCACCTGAGTGAGGTCCCAGAAGCAATTGGCAATTCTAAAGCCTAGCATTTCCTACAATGTACAGCAGAGGGCGCTCTTTACCTAATGAAATTAAGCCTCGCTGCTGGTTATTCTGCTTTTAATAATCGTTGCATTATTTTTATTTATTACATTTATTACATCTTCGAGACATCTCAAAGCGCTTGTCTTCTCTATCCTCTAAATGTAGCAAATTAATTGTTATTGTACTTAATGGCATTACAACATAAATATAAAAATGTCCTTATAAC